TTTTGCTACGCTGAGAAGGCATTTGTCATGCGGAATAGGCATCAAGAAGCCCTCAGAAAATCTGTATTGCTAGGGTACGCATCACAGACATCATGGCTCATGCAAAACGTGCATGACAAGTGTCAGAATCTTCCAGACCCAGACATTTTTATATTTGATAGCTCCTGGTGGAAAAAGCACATCCCACTCGGGCAATTCCGCGTGTTGATCGGCTGGCCACAGGTTTCATTTTTGTTCTTTCCGCTCTTCTATCAAATGCAAAAATGCCTGGGTCTGGAATGTTGCCGGGTTTGTCATGATATTTTGCATGACCTAGGATGTCTGCAATGCACGACCTAGCATCACAGATTTTTAAAGGGGTTCCTGATGGTGCCTACTCCGCATGACAAATGCCGTGTCCGTGTAGCACAAACTGCACTCCTCTTGCTGGTTACGCAATGCAAATTTTGTCAGAGTCCAAAGTTAGCATCACAAGTTCCAACCTTCCAGACCCAGACATTTTTGCATTTGATACCTTCGCACTACAGTAGCCCACGTCCTCGCATTCCCCCAGTTTAACCACTTGCGCCGCGTGTCGAACCCGCACGAAGTATATCAAAGTGAAAAAAGCTCCCACCCTATATTCAAAAGACAATTTGTGATGCTGGATTTGTGTACACGAATGAGCTTTGTATTGCAGCAGGAGCTTGTCGGCATATTCTAACCCCATTTGGGTACGCATCGTCCGGCTAGCAGCTGAGCATGAAAAACAAGTCTGACATAGGCGAAAACGCATGACAGACTCGCTGCTCCATGCGCCACATGGGTGCCGTTTGCCTTTTACGCAAGACAAAGCTGATTGGTGGTCACAAATCAGCATCACAAATTTCCTTTTCAATAGAGAGAAGGGGGATTTTTCCTCAGAGTAAAGTAGCGGTGCGAGGATTGCTGGCAGGTGACGACTGGGTTCAAAATCGCGAACACGGATCGCTTATCCACTGCAGATAGGATCGCACTTCTCGTGATAAATTGCAATTTGGCATGACAGATCCATAACCTTGTACGCTACTCAGCATCACAAATTGGATTTTCGTGCTCAGAAATCTTGTCATGCAATTTCCACGTAGTACCGCCCTGCTTCCTTTTGCATTGCATATCCTTTCTTCAGCTCCGCGGAAGCTTCGCGGTTAGACGTCCAACCTGGAGTTTGAGTTGCGAGAATTGCATTAGAAAGATCTTTTTGTCATGCGGAAACTGGAAGGGCAACATAGTTTGTCATGCATACCCGACTGCACCACATCAAAAACCTTTGCACCGTCGCCGCAAGCAGTTTCGGACGCAGGAGACGCAACATAGTTTGTCATGCAGAACCCCAAGTTAGTACCTCAAACGCAGCAATTTGTCATGCAGAACTGTATAATACCGATATACGCCTGGTCGTGCAACCTCAGCGTGCACACGAACGCCTGCGGGTGTGCGGGTGTTGGCAGATCGCAAATTTTCCACTCGGAACAGACCATGTTATTGCCACAGGTGACAGATGGCAAATACCCGATGCCGATCGCAATGAGCACAACGTCCTTGTCTTTAAACTCTGCGTTTTGGGCTGTGCCGCTTGTCACGAGACGTTTTATGTCGCGGAGTTCGACCTGGATAAAGTAGGGAAAATTGTTTGGCAAAAATTTGATGTCATGCAGAGTCACATCCTGTAGTACGCTTTTACCAGTTTGCCATGCGTGAACAAGATGAATTTCATCACAAAAAACCCGCAAAATATTCAACACCTACTCCTTGGTATACCTTGACCTTGTTCCGCATGCAGGCGTCAAACTTGTCTTGCGACAAACACCTGTCTGTTAGGTGAAACCCCGAATTTTTCTCGAATATGGATTGCAAAAATGTCTGGGTCTGGAAGATTGCAACCTGTCATGCTGTCTTTGGATTCCAAAAAAATCTGTATTGCGTGACCAGCATCACGAGTCCAGTTTGTGTTACGCGGAGAGGGCGTGTCTCATGCGGAATAGGCATCAGAAAGGCCTCTAAAAATCTGTGATGCTAGATCATGCATTACATGCGTGACGGATCATAGAAAATATGCATCACACGTCCCGGAATCTTCCAGACCCAGACACTTCCGCACTTGATATCAAACTGCCGCACCCGATTCTGCGCTTCCTCCTGTCGTTTCTGCGCCTGCTTTTCCCGGATCCGGCAGAGTTGGGACGACAGGTTGTCGCGGTTCTTCAATTTGTTGAACTGATTCCGGGTCTCCCAGGCGTAGGATTTTTTGTTGTTCATAGTGCCATTCGTGGCGGACGAAGCCGTCGTAGAATTGCTCCCTGCTGGGTCATTACCCGTCGAGCTGGAGCTCGACGAGGAGGAACTGGCACCCATCGCTGCGTATCCTGTGCAAAAGGATCGTGCGCGTATTGCAATCATGCATATACAAATCTTTTTCTTAAGGTAAATCAGCATTACAAATTTCATTTCATCTCATGCTGAGAAAATTTGTCATGCATTTATACGAATACGATACTTTTGCAATTCATACTGCGGGACCCGCAGCAATGCTTGTCGCAGCAGCTGCAGTAGTAGTACTGCTGCCCGTTGTTGTTCCCGCCACGGGCTCCTGCACTCCATCGCTTTTCGCAACCGCCGTAGTCGCGACCTGTCCTGCTGTCACAGCCGCAGCGGATATCGCGCTCTGCGCGCCTTCGGTTGCCGCAATGGGAAAAATTCCTCCAGTTGTAGGTGTTTCCGTTGTACGCAGTGTGCTGTCCGAGAAGTTCGGGACTTGTGGTGCTGGAGCCGTTTGTTCATCTGCCGTGGTTCTTCCAGCGGATGATCCACCACTTCCCACAGCTGCTTGCGTTGAGTCCCCATGTAGAATTTCTTCCTCATCAGGTCGCTCATCTGGCGGCGAGGGCTGGCCAGGGGGAGGTGGCAGGGGAATTTCGTCCTTCTGCCCTGGTGAAAGAACAGCGGTATGATCAGGTTGTAACTGTGGTGGCTTGTAGTGGGCGGCTGGATCCGGATCCGCAGGTGCCAGAGCGGCCACATGTTGACTCGGAGGGCCGAGTTGGTTCGATCTGTGATGCAGATCTACTTCTGGCATAGAAGCTTGTTCTTTCTGTCCGGGAACAAGTGCACTGTCTCCTTCGAAGATACTGGTTCGTCCAGCTGCAAGTGGTGGAACTTCATCCGGGGGTTCGTCCGGCGGTTATGGAACAGAGAATTCTGAGCCACAGAATGGACTTTGTCATGCCCCTTCGGCAAAAATGCGCAATCACAATCTGGTCATTTCATATATTGAAAAACGCATGACAAATCCACCTCGCGATGACCCAAAATTCCGCTCTGATACGGGTGGCACGTAGTCTTCCTCCTCCCCGTCGTCTTCAAAGGTGTCCAGCAGGTCTGCAAGGTCATCCGCCATTTTTTCTTTTGTTTTCAAACAAAAACTGAATTTGACATTGAACCTACGACTTTGCAGTTTTTTGCTCCGACTACAACGAGTAACAAGGCACTACGGTGGGCTAGAGTGGTTGGTGGCATGTTTAGTGATTTTGGGTATGCAAAACTCCTGCGACAATAACAGCGGCACGCTGACAATAAGCCTTCACAGTTTGTGCCGCCTGCCGCCGTCATGAATCGCAGCCCGCCTGCAGGCTAGCGATCGAGTATTCTACTCCGGAATATTCAATGCGCGCTCGTAAAAGCAAAAGCGAAGATTGTTTTTAAAAGAGTAGCTTTTCAAACCGAGCTGCATAAAAAATGGCGAGCGCAAATTTCTAATGTGCTCCATTGATATCGTTTCTGTAGAACTGCAGCTGAGAGAATGACCGCGAGATACCGGTGATAAGCATCCGCGCTCTATTCTCTCCAAGGAGGCCAGTATAAAGCAGGTACGCAACGCACACGAAGCTTCCCACATCATCTTTTTTGTTGTTTTCATCTTCAGCGCTGCGTTTCAGACTGGTGATTTCTAAATTGTCTTCCGTTTACACAGGCACAGCACAAGTGGCTTTCTGTTATTTTCGAACACAGGGTGCTAATTCTCCTTAACTAGACGAGTCGGACTTCTCAAATTGCCTCTCCGGACTTCTCAAATTGCCTCCCCTTGGAATAGGTATGGAAAGGAGGAAGGCGTTGTCCTCTTGCATTCAAACTTTTTCCACAGCTACACATGTGATTTCTTCAGTAGATTTTGGCTGCTACGCACCAGCGGTTTCTAACGGTTTGACGAGTTAACAACAAAGCAAATACTGCGCACCAATTTTGCCATCATAGCATGCAGGAAAGAATTCGTGGGATGGATCCTTGGCAGTCGATTTCGACAAAGAAAACATACCGGCACAAAGACGATTATTCGAACACAGTGATTTTTTGGTGATTTTTGCATTTTTCTAGCGTAAGACCGTGTTTACTTTGTAGAAAGGTGCTGGCATCATCGTGTAAAAAACGTGCAGTAGCGTCGTGAATGATAAAACGAATTTGATACAGCAAACATCGCAAAATCAACAGAGTGCCGCCGTAGAACCCAGCACGATTCTACTAACGAAAGCATACAGGAAAAAACACGAATGCAATGGAACAGCAACAGCAATAGGCTGTAAATAAACTCCCAGACACGTTCGCAATTAAACACGAATGCAATGAAACAGTAAAAAAATTAGGTCGTGAATAGAAAGAACCAAGCACGTCGTAGGTAGTTGTTCTAGTTTTATTCTTTTCCATTACATCACGAACAAACACGTTGCAACAGACGCTTTTCTGCATCCCAAAAAGCGGCGCCCAAGTCAATCTCCAGCGCAACAGGTGCTCTTTGAATCTCCGCACCGTCATCTTCATGGACGGCTTCCATGGTGCTCCAACAGCTGGAGCGCAACTATGGATAGGTTGCTCCAATAAGGACTTTGCTTTTGCCGAACCACGAGTCGCTTCGCCATCGCTCGTAGAGGCCGGCTAGGAGTCGTCCTTAGAAGCGACCTATCGGGTGCAAATATGCCTAGGCCTGGAGGATTGCCAGGTTTGTCATGCATATTTTGCTTGACCCTGGCCCTTGGTACCCGTAATGCATGGCCTAGCATCACAGGTTTTTAGAGGGCCTATTTATGTCGCCTATTCCGCATGAGAAATGCCCTCTCCGCGCAGCACAAACGGAGCTCCTCTTGCTGGTCATGCAATACCGATTTTGATGGAATCGAGATACAGCATCACAAGTTGCATCCTTCCAGACCCAGAAATATTTGGAATGCATACGACTCTGCAGTTTTTCGTCGCCTCCCTGTTGCTGCCGACATCGTCAGCCCACCCCAGCTATGCTTTGCAAATATGCCATCTGGGTCTGGAAGGATATAACTCGTCATGCAAAATCTCAAACGCAAAAAAATCTGCGTTGCATGACCGCAAAAAGTTCCTCAATCCTTGCTAGGGCAAAGGCAGACTTCTCCTGGGGCTTTTGCGTGCATTCGAGATCATGTGTGTGGTCCGCAAGGTGCATGACAAATCTTGCAGTCTTCCACACCACCCAGACATATTTGTACTTGATACCGGCAGTGGCACAAAGTGGAGGTTCCCGCCCAAATCAGGAAAACTCTGGATCACGCTGCCGAGGGTGCTGGACAGGCCGGGCTCCTCTAATTCCGCATGGTACCTGTAGCCAGTGCCGCTTCTGCTCTGCCGCGTTTCCTCGTTGTTTTGAGCGGCGCTCCACCAGCGCAGAATGAATCAAGCGCAGCTGCCCGGATGTAGTTCCAACCGCGTCGAAGAAGTGCTAGGAGTAGGACTAGTACGCGCCCATTATCTTGAATCCTTTGTTTCCCGCCTGCCACAGCTCGAGTCCCAATCAGGCCGAAGAAGGAGACGGCAGTGCCACTTCTTGCGACTTTCGCACAAGAGCTCCGGCAACAAAAATCGTTTTCCTGTGAGGCCTCAATAGGTTGCTGGCAGGTGGTCCTTCAGTGCACTCATACTACAGAGTGAGAGACCAACAAAGAACTCGAGGAAGACGCATTTTCTCATTATGGACGCCTAAACGCATTTGACCGAAGGCTACATTGTCACTGGTTGTGAAAAAGCGAATTGAGAGTATAGTGTTATTTTGCGCACCAGAACATAGATACATCGATAATACTAATAGCAGAAAAAAAAAAAGGTGCTTCGAGGATCCATTCAATGCACAAACGCTGCGATCGCAAAAGAGCCAGGACAGCGAAGAGTTTCTCTGTCAAGAGCTTGAACACGCAGGCACAGGCGAGTAGTCCAAAATACTGGGACATTATTGTTGCTCCGCGCAAAGAACATTCCGAGCTGTCACAGCCAAATTCTACTTGAACAATTTATACTCAGCGCAGTCTTCGTCGTGTCTACTTCTACTTGAGGCAAAATTTTTGATGGAGATGCAGTATTGATATTGCTTGCATCGGCGATTTTCTTTTTCTACTTTGATTTCTGTTCATATGCTTTAATTGTTCATCATGCAATTTCGATAAGCTAACGATGGTCAAGCTGTAGAGCTCGAGTTCTGTCGGCAAAATCTACCTATTTTCAATCACACCTTGTAAAAGTCTAAATCTCGTGATGCTATTTCTTCTTATCTTGCAATGTAGGTTGTAAATTTGTCGAACAAAAAAAAATATTTTCGTTTTGCAGAACTACAGAATTTGGTTATTAACTCCTTACTGCTATGAACTGCAAATACGCCTGCGCCTGGGGGGGCACGAAACTGGAAATTTGTCATGCGCGATGTAATTCGCAAAAAAATCTGTCATGCCAGGGCCGCAAAAATAAAAGTTGCGTATTTTTTTTTCGGCCATAGAAGATGTTCAAATTTGTCATGCGTATATGACCGGAATGTGAGTGGAGATCGTGATGCTTTACAACAGCTGTGATACTCTGGCCCGTATACCTGTCGTTCTTGGTCACGCAAAAGATGCATGAGAAATCTCACTCTCGTCTCCGTCCAGACCCAGACCTATTTTCACTTGATATTTGCAGCGTTGGTGTTCTTCGTGGCTGGCATATCAAAATCAAAACCACCGCATTCCACTTCAAGAGAGCAGAACATGCAGGACAATTGGGCTGTTGGTCATCATCTCTTTCTCAGATGCATTCTGAACAAAATCATCGTTCGAATACGGAGGATTTTCATTTTGATAACTTCGTTTTGATGGTCACAGAATACCGATGCAAAAACCTTCCAGGTGCCACAAGGGAGAAATTATGGTGAAGCACGCGATAGATTAGAAACAGAACATATTTTGGGCCTCCTTCTGGCTCTGCTTAGGTAAAGCTAAAATCTAGAGGCATGCAAAATGATTAGCTGGCTGCACGGAAAAAACACATACACGAACACCTCTCGGGGGATGGTTGAGCAGGAAGGGTTTCGCATCGATAAGTTCTTGGGCGGTTCCTTGTTCCGGATTGGTGACGCAGCAGGCACGCCTTGCATGTTCATGGGTTCTGGCGGTGGCGCTGCAAATAATGACGATGAAAAAACCACCCTTTCTCTTTTTCAGCAATGCAAATTTTACACTACTTCTACTGGGAGCAGAAGATTAGCTTGCTAGGATGCAAACACGAACGACTAGACGGGATGGGGAAAAAGGGTATTCACTTTCATACGTTGATTCGCATCGGACCCATCGGAACTGGACCGTCCGCTTCTTGTTCTTTGTCCGCTTCGCTTATCAAATGCAAATATGTCTGGGTCTGGAAGAATGCGAGATCTGTCATGCAGTTTTTGCATGAGCCAGATCGTCTGGCATGCAAGCTCTAGCACCACAGATTTTGAGCAGGTATCCAAATGCCTAATCCGCATGACAAATCCCCTCTCTCGGAAACAAGAGGCGCGGCCTTTTGCTAGCCATGCATGACACATTTTCTCATGACATAGATTTCGCATCACAAATTCGAATCCTCCCAGACCCAGACACTTTTGCATTTGATATCGCTGACGGTGTCCACCGTGGGACTTGGCCCGGGCGGTGGCCGTTATGAATCAGAGAAACTTCCACGACCCTCATGCAGCAGAATTCAGATTGACTGTATCCTAGAAGCAAGAGACGGGGTATGCTTCTGCCTACCGCGTTGGTTAAAAATACTATAAGCAAACAATTGGGGAACTCGGACGTATCAGAATCAATATTCATTTCTTCATTTGTGTACGTATCATCCTGCTGAACATACAACCTGAATCCTTCGAGGTTGAGGGCGGCGTGGAACTGGGTATCTTCCTGCATATAGAGTGAAAAACTGTTTTGTTAAAGGAAAAGATTTTGGAAAACTGTTTTGTTAAGGAAAAAATGTTGCACAAACTACAGGTAGAGTGGCATCGAACTTCACTACATCGTAACAAACTATAAAGAAAACATAAAGTACTCGGGGAGGAAGATGAACAGATCTCGTCGAATATTCTGCGCAAAAACGAACCTACCCCTAAGTCAAGTTGGGAACTCTGCAACACAAACCCAGAAGTTTTGGGAGCCACGCATGACGAGTTCCGTTCTGTATTGCATTTTTTAGCAAATACATGCACAGCAGCATCACAAATCCATCTTCTTCTCCTGCTTACAGCATTACATATTCCAAAACACGTTTGGATAATATACACATTCCTCTCATGGGGGTGCGCATCACAAATCTCCCTGTAACTACAAATCTGCATGACAACTCTGGGGTTACGACGTTTTTACATAGTGATATCGAACACGCCCGAGTGCATCGAGTTCCCGGAACCCGTGCTCCGCAGCTGTTCAGCCAGCAGCTCGTTCATCGAGTTGAGTCCATGGTATCCCACAGAAAAGTACACCCGCACCGTAAACAAGGTGAATTTGTGTTGCGAGTAAATTGGTGTCCCTGCTCGTCGTGACCACTCTTTCATGCGGAGACCGCAGCTGAGGCAGTTACTTTCACTTTGTGATATCACCAACTATCATCATCATCACCATCATCCAGACGTACTCAACCTATCATTCCGGTCGTGTTCAGAGGGTCCACAAGAACGCTAAGCCACGTGGTCAAATGTTGGTAGTGTCCACGAGGCACGCAGCGTGTACTGCGGTGAAGCGATCTGAGATGTGGCGAGTAACTCTCTGATACTGAGCAGCAGAGCAAACAGGAGGGAAATCCGCAATACAATAAATATTTTTTTCCCGGTGCGGGTACATTTTTTCGGTGGAATAGTTCTATTTTTTGTTGCAACTCCTGCCTTTCCTCGTCGAACCTCCTTTTCATGTCCGCCTTCTCACTTACGTATCCATTGCAAACATGTTTGGGTCTGGAAAGTTGTCATGCTAAATCGTGCAGCACGCAGCAGAGCAAGGGGCTTTTTTCATAGAATCCTGTGTTGCATTCTCCGCATGGGAAATTGCTTTTTTTGGCAAGAACACAAGCGGGCATGTCTCGTGCGCAAAAAGTATGCATCACAGAATATACAGTGATCATACGAAACAAGATTTACACGGTGGTATCATTCCAGATCCAGATTACATATTTGCAGCTGATACGGCGTGCGCGGTTTCTAGGTCTCGGTACCTAGTGTCGGCGCTATTCAACTCCCCTTGAAGGAGTCGCATCCTGTCCATGTCTATGCACTGCAAAAGCGTCGTACACGTACTCGTACACAGTCCCGATCGCATGCCTCCTTTTTTCCAAAACTAGACAAAATCGTGCTATGTTACCTAAAAAAGCGAGACCTGTCATGCAGTTTTGCAACCAGTACGGGTACGATACTTTTGCACAGCATAACGTATCACGCCGAAAACCTCATCCACTCTATGCTGAACGCCCTGAAAACTTCAAAAGGGAGCGCTGCAACAAAAATGTGATCCATATGGCCCTCCAGCGCAATAGTTGCAATGCAAATCAAACTTTCTGCCGCATTTAAATTTCTTCAATGCAAGTGCAGCATCATCTCATCCCATTGCTACGTTTACATTGTAGCAGCCCAAATTACGGGCCGCCCTGTCGTATTTACAAAAAGAATTCCGCGCTGGCGCGCACGTACTTAATTAGGATAGTGGGCGGTTGCGTTTCGGCGTCATAACCGCAGGAGCTTCATTCGTTCTTATCCAGTGCAAATATGTAGGTCTGGAAACTTGTGATGCTGGACTGTAGATGATGGAAGCACTCCCGCATGCAGCAAAGCACATGACAAGTTTCCAAAATGCTCTTTCATACGCAGCCCGCATCAGAAACTGCGTTTCTGCACGACAAACGAGGCTGAGGCTTTCGCGTGTCATGCAATACAGATTTCAGAAAAGTGTCGAACGTGCATTACCCGCTCCATCTTTCCAGACCCAGACATATTTGCAACGCATACCGCTGCAGTGTGAACAATTTAAAAAAAGTACCACAAGAATAGCATGAGTACCTTATCAGAAAAGTATAAATGAACACATTCTGTTGTTACTGAGTACTAACATCATACGCATTCAGAGTGATAGAGGCTTACCGTGTGCCAGCGAGTCGGTGGTAATGTAGTCCTTTTGGTTATTCGAGAGCAGAAGCGCCGTGCCACTGCAACTTTTCTGCGTCTCAAATGTACTGTGTCAGAAATACAGGATTCATGTTTTTGTCATGCTAGGAGACAGACATGCTGCAAGGCAACAAAAGGCCACATTTATTCAACTGTGGCGCGACGCTTTTTTTTGCTCATAAATCTTGCTTAGTCCAAAAATCGTGTCCTCATTTTCGATCATATCAGAAAGAAAAACCTCCATCCCTTGCTTTCCGCGTTCTGAAAGTGGACGTAGCTGCTTTTTGTCCTGCTCCAGGGCGAAGTAGCAGGCGGAAGACGAGATGCACGCTGTGAGGGAGCAGCTTGTTTCCTGTTTGCTAAACAGGAAAGCAGCAACGCGCTCGCTTTGAGTTCTCAAGGGAGGGCTTTTCTTTTTGGTACGCCACTAGCTCCGGCGAAGACGGCGCGTCCTCTGGGGAGGATGGGCGTATGGGACGAAAAACTATTTGAGTTCAAAGGCAACGGCGTCTACGCACTGCAGCAATAGACGAGTCGCGTGAAAAGCTGCAGGAACCTCCTGCGCTATACTTAAATTCTTGACTTGTGACGCAATCACGCGCCCACGAGAAAAATCCGCGGCAGCGGTCTACTTCTTGCGCAAAGCCTGCTCGTTCGCACTGAGTGGAGACGCCGCGTCTGCCTTTGAATTCAGTCCGATCAACATGCGATAGCGTGCGTCGACGCCTTGCTCCCACTCGGCTGCGGTGGTCGGCCGGGCTTCGCCGTGCGCAGGACGAAGTATTTCGCCAACGTCTCCGCGTATAACATAAAAAAACGGCTTGCTCATGTCATTTTTTTCTCTTTTTCTTATCGGTCCTACGATTCAAATTGTAATTCTGCATGATGCACTTGCTAAGTGCTGGTCGCACAGTCTTTCTGTACATACTCTTCGTTGACCAAAAACTTGTGACCATGACAGCCCTCCAGCAGGTGATACCGCGAGTACGTCTCTTTCGACTTCCAGTTCCTTGATCCGTCTTGATATGGCGGCCTCAGCCGTCGTCGCGGGATCGGTGTCCTCCACCTCCTTGTCTAAATCGCGACTATTGCGTTATCCTGTGTAAAATTCACCTTCCTTATCAACGGTTGTAGCACCGAAGCGGTTTTGACAGCAGAATCACTGTTCAATGTGCGACCTCCTGTTGATAGGGACGACTTTGCGCACGATAGCCGTCTGACCTTCCGCTGCAAGATATCGCAACGAAAAATCCCCCCTCCCCATGTTGAAAGCGCATCCTTCTGAGAATTTGCTTTGCAGATTTGTCACCACAAATCCTGTCTGTCTTGCAGGAAGGCAAATGCAGAGAATCCGCCGCGTTAATACACAGGTGATTTGTGACGCTGTGAGGCCTACATTGCAGACGTTTACCATGCTAGACGCCTACACCAAGCGGCCCGTGCCTAGGCTTGCGAAGTGCGTGCAGTCCTCTACTGCATGACAGATTTGATTTGTTTACACAAATCCCGCATAACAGATTTCCGTTTTGACATGGGGAGAGGGGACTTTTCCTTTTGATACGAGAGCTCTTCCCATATCTTCTTGGCCTCCCCGAGGTAGTGCAGCTCGCCCTTTACGAGTGCAAGCTCGTCGTGCAAGGAATTGCATCCACAGCAAATGATGTGTCAGCATCAAAGTTCATGCGTTGCAATTATGTCTGGGTCTGGGTGTTTTGTCATGCATCCACATCAAGCATGACCGATGATGTCTGCGATATAAGACGCCGCAGCATCACAGCTTTTCTGACGGCGTCTTTATGCTTATCCAGCATGAGAAATGCCCACCCCACGTAGCAAAAAATAAAATTCTCTTGCCGCTCATGCAATTTGCCTTGCATAACAAATACAGGACCGCGTCGCCTGAGAGGAAAATAAGTGTGGTTTTCTATATCATTTCAATCCACCAATAAAACAAATCCAATCATATTGATAAATCATATTCTTCTCGTCACACATACGCTTCGATCATTACATCATCACGACCTACAAAAAATGTAAACCGAAGGCGATGATGTAGCACTCACCTTTGAACACCATGTCCGCGTTAACTTGGCGCATGGTCGACTGCACGTGGTTATCAAATGCAAAAATGTCTGGGTCTGGAAGATTTCGAGATTTGTCATGCATATTTTCCATGAGCCATCATGTCTGTGATGCATGCCGTAGCATCACAGATTTTTAGAGGGCCTTGTGATACCTCTACCGCATGAGAAATGCCCTCTCCGCGTAGCACAACATGGAGTCCTCTTGCTGATCATGCAATACAATTTTTTTTAGAATCCAGAGACAGCATCACAAGTTTAGAATGTTCCAGACCCAGACATTTTTGCATTTGATAGTGGTCCTGTAAGGCCTGGAGCGACTCTATGGTCAAGACGCGTTCATCGCCGCTGTAGGATCTAGTTTCGAAATGGAGAGGTTAATTTTTCAGACGCGTACACACCGAAGTCTTACTTGAACACCATCTAAAACTCCTCCAAATTCCACAAATACGCATTACAGATTCAATATCCCCAATCTAGTTGTCTCAGTTTCTAATGCTATTTCGCGTCTTTTCATATTTCTAATCGTGCCCGTAGCCTTGACTCAGCTCCTTGAAAGTAGTGAAAAGGCAGTTTGTAATGCGAACTCAGCGTAAATCAGACCTAATTTCTTTGCTTTTCTTCTCTTCTCTTTTCCTTTTCCTTTTTCTGTCGATCGTGGCAAGAATTTGCTTGCTTTTCCTTGGTATTTCGTTCCTTTTCTTGCTCGATCGATTTCTTGCCTTGTCCTTATCATCCTGTTCATTTTCTTTATTTTGATCTATGAGAAACAACGTTCAAAACTAGTTTTCAAATACACACCGCTCGGTCTTGAGTGGTCTGTATAATTTTCATTGCACTTATCGGAGCTGCAAAGGGATTTTTGTTCTCCACGGTAAACAAGAGAAATCCGGGGTTATCTTGCCGGGGATCTTCACGAAGAAAAGATTAGTGCGTCCAGTTCGCATTCAGTAAAGACTTTTACCAGAAATTGCTTCTGTCGATAAGAAGTATCACACGCAAATGTATCTGGGGCTAGAAGAATGCTGGTTGTGATGGCATCACAGTGATGCTGCATTTGGATGCTAAAAAAAATTTGTATTGCATGAGGAGCAAGAGGAGTTAAACTTGGCTACGGGAAGAAGGCACTTGTCATGCGGGGAGCGCCTCGACAACTAAGCGAGAGCGCTCAAAAATCTGTGATGCTAGGGCATGCATCACAGTCATTCATCATGAAGCATGGAAAATGTGCATGACAAACTGCCATCTTCTACTAGACCCAGAAACATAATTTGCAGTTGATATGAAGATCTAAAGCAACATATTTGCTTTCGCAATCACCTTTACCTGCAGTAGGAGCTCCCGCCACTGCGGTCGGTACGCCAGCAGATTCCACGTCGATACAGTGCTATGAAATGTCAACAACATGTCTTGAAGGGGACGACGGAAGATCTGGGGGTGTAAAAGCCGAGGCCGTGTAGCGGCATGACAAAATATCTGAGGTCTACTTCGCCATTTATCGAGGACGTGGCTGCGCTGCACAATGACAATCATGACAAAGCCGAATTTGGGAGCAGCTGCTTTCCTATCGACATGCTCTTCTGCAGCATACATCGAGGAGCCGCTGCAGGTTTTCATCCCACTGGTTCTCCAAGTCGGTCACATCCCTCAGG